AGCACCATTCACAGACAAAATCTTGCAGAGATGTTACCACAGAAGAGAGGAGTCAGTTCCAGTCAGATTAGGGTAGGAGACACTGATCTACAGTAGATGGGCTAACTCATGAAATGTCAATCAAAATTCGGAAATGCGTTTTCGTTTCGTAAATATTACTTAAGTAGGGTTGTAAAACTAGTCAGCCTGCAACATAATTCTATAATATTTCAGTTACCTCAGGATGCCGGCTTTCGAGTGAACTTCCTTCCAGCTGCATGGAAAAATCACACTGTAAAAATGACCACATAAGTAGCATGCATTTTTCTCGTTTATTTTCGATGCCCTTAACAATTCAGTTATATTTCATGGAAAACATGGATAAAAGTATTCATTCTTTGGCTCATTCGGTAGAGAATTACGTTTTCTTCCAACTTGATACTCGAAGGAAGGGTACAATTCGGTTTTGAAAAAGTTTCTAATTGTGAGATTTCTTAATACCGTCAAATTGACGTTCATAAAACGTCATGGTTCTGCATTTACCAATGTGATTTGTAAAGTCGACAATATGTCTGAAATCCACTGCTAAATTTTATAAACCCCATGTAGTCTCCTCTTAATACCGTAGAGAAATTTATGGTTTTCCGTACGCGAAAAATATACGGCTTGTAGTTTAGAAACCCTGAATGCAGGTGTAACGGCAGGTCGGGTTCGAAATTATTCGGGCATTAGAAAAGTTTTTGTAACCAAATTATACGCTTCCGTCGATTATAATATCGGAAGAAGATGTCATTGTCTACCGAATGAGCAAAAGAATTAATATTTTTATGCATGTTTTCCATGAAATATAATTGAATTGTTAAGGGAATCGAAAATAAACGAGAAAAATGCATGCTACTTAAGTAGTCATTTTTTGCGAAGTATGGTTTTTAGATGCAGCCGAAAAGAAGTTCATTCGAAAGTCGACATCCTGAGGTAACTAAATTATTGTAGAATTATTCTGCAGGATAATTCATTTTACAACCCTACTTAATTAATCTTTTCGAAACGAAGACGCATTTCGGAATTTCGGTCGACATTTCATGACTTTGCCCACCTTCTGTTTTGTAGATACAGGGCGGAGACGAACGCTCTCGCACTGCCCGGTGATGATGATGGTAACTGTGCCAGAAATGACCATCCTAGTTTTCTGTCAGAAAGGTATCTTTGCTGGATGCCATTCTGTAAGATTTCACCTCCCACGGTGAACTAGACAACAGACCAGGGTCTCTTCGCGCACCTCTGTCATAACAGTCGGTATATTGTGCTCTATAATTCCACTTCAATGACTCGGGAAGAAAGACGGAAAGAGTGATTCCTACGCTTATTTGCTCCTTCCGCACTAGTTACACTGGTTGAACTTCCGCGGCAAATCAACACACACACCTTACCATAATAAATGGTAGGATGTGGTTATGTAGCTCAACCTGATGGACACAATACTGTTGGGTTAGGGTTTAGGGCTTCGGTTAAGAGTTTGAGTTAGGGTTGGGCTAGGGCTTGGGGTTGAGGTTCGGTTTTAGGGTTGGGAGTTATGGTAACTATTTCTCAACCATTCAGTGTACAACCTCGCATTCCCAAGAGCTTTTCTTTTGCATACAATTGCTTGACCTTGTCGCCTGTGCCTTCCCAGACCCACGTGTAAAAACTCCCTATTACCGCTGGTCCCGTATTACAGGAGAATGAGGTTTGTTTACCTCAGATGGAGCTACATAACTACATCTGACCTAACAGATCTATCGGAGAGTCGTGACCTTGAAGACTGCCAACTGACGGAACAACTCGGTCCCCATTATGAGTATTGTGGAGTGAATAGGGGTCAGGCTGCAATGACTACTCCTGAATGCAGCGTCTGTGACGGTCGATGATGTGAGACTCGATTCACCCCCATTGTAACCTGATACACATTTTGGGGACCACATCGCGCGGGGCACACGTAGACGAGCCAGTCACGGCGTCCGAGTCACCTTCGGCCGTCTGACATTGTCTTGTATTCGGAACAAGGTGTCTGAGGGAAGAGGGCGTGTAGTAGATGCTGTCTCACTGTGAACACATTTCAGAGCAGCTTATCGTTCTACGCCCACTCGGCAGATCCCCGGTGCGCGCATTCGCTTGCGACAGTTAAACAACAAAGGATAAGGGAGCACATGCCAGCGAGGCTTGAATGCGGTGAGCTTAATCAGTAAGCAACCTTTTCCCTACGCACCTGGTCATCGGGCGGCCATTAAGCATATGAAATGGCCTATAGAGCACCGCCTACATCTTTAAGGCCAGTCAGGAAGGAGAGAACGACATTCACACATTACGCAACTCAGTCTTATATGTTCACATGAATGTACTGACTACTTCGGGCGCCTGCTACAACTGCGTTTCTCGAACCTACTTGCCTACGTGTACCAGTGGCAGTCTGCTTCTCAGCTATCCACGGCTTCCTATATCAGACAGTCGACTACAAGGCCGACTACGGCATGCCCTCGCTCAAGGCGCTCTGACGCCTCCCCCGGTAGCACTCGAACGCCTGCTGTCGTGGCCCCGGACATGCGCCTCTCGTCCGACTGCCAACTTGTTCCAACCTACTCTCCATTCATGCTGTACAGAATAAAATGCCCTCTTTACTGACGTACAACTTCTCTTTCTATTCGGGATGCTTTTCGAAGATCCTAGTAGCCAGTGCTGGCCTACTATTTAAGCTGCCGCGACATAAACCCCGCCCAATCATGGTTCCCCAACGTAAGCTGCCGGAGCAGCGCAGGCCAGTTTTTGGGTCTACATGTTGATCCTCTGCAAGCTGAGGGACTCGTATAAGTGAGGTACTATTTACCTCCGCCCTCTCTCCGCTTACAGTTACCACACTGTAAATGATAAACCCATTAGTTGGGTACAGTGAGTAGGCTATCGGGGCAACGAAGATAGCAGTATCCCAACAGTTACAAACCAGTAAATATGGACAAAGTGGTCAGCAGGTAAAAATGCCCGTGCTTGTTCTATGTCTCATTCAAAATTATGTTAAGTTCTTTAAAAAGCGTATTGTAACTGATTAAAAAACGAACTTAAATGTAACTACAACACTGTCACTAAATCGTCACGTAAATGTACAAGCCCAGCAAAAGTATTCCTTTCGAGTAAGCAACTGTGGAAATGCATCTGGGATAAGAAAATTCGAGTGCGTCCAAAGCGTCTTAAAATACAATAAAAGCAATGTAGATTGACCGCGCATATCGAAGGATGCCGAATAGTTTGTCATGTCGAACGAGACTCGGCAAGTTTTTGGTAGGAATGACAGTAACTTAATTCTCTTCGGCTATAGCCTTTTCCCATCCCCCCGAAATGCCGTAGTACTTGACAGTGGTCTTATTTGGAGAAGCTGGCTGAAGACCTCTTCCAAGCTGATTTATGAGACGTTTGTCCCTTTCTCTCAGAGTATAGGAATTCTAAATCTAGAAAGACTTTTTGCCCATAAAAACAGAGTCGAAGTTTCAACAAGGATCTTTTACGTATAGTACTCGAGTACATGTTTAGTCTTCTCAATTTCCACAGTGGCTGTTGATTATGTTATACTTTGTTTAATTAGACAGGGCTCGACAGAGTAAGCGTCCCAGAAAAAAAACACGATTCATGTGCTTGTTAGTCGGGATCGTGAAAACCAACTATTTTAACACTCGGCATCACAGTTAAAGTACACTGAGATGATCCATCTACACTGTTGACTTTACGAAGGTGTTTGATTCCCCGCACCAGTTAAATTTTCCTGTTCTCTCCTCCCCGAAACCAGGAACCTTTTTTGAAGAACAGCATTCATTGGAACCAGCTCCCATTCCTGCAAGCTGGCTCCTTCCTCCATGAAGTAGATTACATGCACAGTAGAGACAATATGCTTCTGAAATTAGCCACCAGTCGGAAATATGTTAATCGCTTGATTTGGCATTGATAATCAGAGTCAGGGTATTCAGCAGACCTCCTCGCCTGACCTTGAACATTTTCATTAAAAGGGCCCTTCAACTCTGACGTCGACCTCACACATGGCTACACCTGTTGCTTGTTCCTTTCTGGGCCTCACAGTTATGCGTTTAAAGCTTACACCCATAGTAGCCCTGTCCCCCTCTACTAGTGTTTATAAACAAAATGTGTTCTCAAAGCCGCAGGAGTGCATTCCTCCGTCTTTAAGTTTCGTAGGCGTGCGGTGGTCTTGTAACACCACACGATCTGTACAGGGTTGTCTGAATGAAGAGACACGTTTGACGCGCGCGGACCTAGGATGCTGATGGTGCAACTACGTGTCAGTGAAAATGGCCGGTGTTCTTCCCTCTCACCGCCGCCGACCCGTTTCCCGCAATTTGCCGTGACAAACGCACCTCTCTCCCTCTCTGCGTCGGCGTCTCCCTCGGTCCTCACCTGCAGTTGCCCACAGCGCTGCGTTTCCCACCATTTGTTTAGCTGGCATGTAAGAGCCGCCTCACCATCCATGCAGGTTACTCTCTTGCTGTAACTCATCCCGTTTGTACAACCAACTACCACCATATTTATTCCCAGTTTCCTTTTCTTCCCATTGTACCTTATTGCCTGCCTAAAGTTTATTCTTCCCTAGAGTATGGATGGGTATTACGACATGTTAACGGCTCTATTCAGATCAGTTTTAGCCAGGATCCCTTCCCAGTGCTTCGCTACCTCGGTGTGTGCTATTCTTGACGTCCTCGAACACTACAGTCTGAAAAAAGTGCCAGGATTTGAAAAAAGGTGTACGATTGTAATCCGTTATCATCCGTTATCAGGAATGATCAAATGACAAATGTGTGCCCCAAACCCTCCCGTTCGAGGCAGATGAAAACAGTCACTAGTACACGACGAAGCAAGCGCAAGAGTCCGTTTCTCCCACTCTCATTGGTCCACATTAGTCCAATCAATGCTCTCATTTGCCACCTAGTTTCTTTTAAAGCGCATTCGATCGATTTGCTAAAAGTCGGTAATTTGGACACGCTATGGCAATGGCGTCAACAGTCCAGCCAGCGGAACAAGGAAATGAGCATAACTTTGGACACTACCCGAAATGGAGAGCGAAAAAGAAAGCAAAATCACGGCGAAAGTTACATCCGACCCTCGTACTAATACATCGGCTTTTGGAACAGGAGAAAGTACTAAAGGATAGATCTCGTCCGCTGCGTACTTATGACGAGATACACGAGGCCATTGAGAGGCGCATTCAGACTCGTGACCTCTCTGACGCCGTCACGATATCAAGGAAACAGCTACAAGGGACGGATAGTCAGGAGGACGACGGCCAGGCCAGAAGTCAGGTCTCTGAGGACGAATCCTCAGAGGAGGAGGATGAAGAGGTGAAACGCATGGATTTTACGGAATCTATTCTATTGAATGCCAAGGATAGCACGAAATCGGCTTCTTACTGGCAAGCTCTCAAAGTGTTTCGCTACTTTTTGGCAACCAATCGTCAGGGCACTCTCATCTCACTCATAGCTCTCCGTGCGCTCAACTTTCGCACCGCGGGTGTGGTGCAGGCCTTTGAGAAGGCCGAGGGAACTACTCTCTTACTAAATCTCCTCTCAGTGGAGGACCCACCGGTTCAGATAGGTGCGATGCGTGTCCTCCTCAAACTCTCAACCATAGCCTACTTCGCTCGGCTCATTGTCCACCTGGGTGGTATCGAGGCTCTGCTGGAAAATTTACATCAACCGAATGAACAGATAAAACGAGCCGCCGCCAGAATCCTCACCAAGCTCTGTATCCTCAAGAAGGCTCGTAAAAAGCTCTGTGCCCAGGATGGAGTCCCATTGTTTGTCTGCATGCTGGACGAGTACACACAAAAGCTTCAGGAAATTCACAGCGCGGGAAGCCGTGAAATGCGTTTCCTAACCGCGACCAACAGGCGAAACTCCGTTTCCCTGGGCACATCCCTGAAGACTCTTGAACGCAGAATCGAACAAAAAAGGCGACCCATTGACAGCCTACTGGTAACAATATGCAGTGCCCTAGGGGCCTGCTCCAAGAGTCCCGAGGGCCGTCGGGCTATGCGCGAGACCGGAATGGTTTCCATCCTTGGCAGATTAGTCCCCCTGGCTCACTCGGAGGTGCTGGAGTGTATCATGGGCATCCTGGAATTGTGCTGTCAGGAGAAGTACTTCCGAGTCTCCGTCTGGACTGAAGGTATGGTACCCAAACTGGTTGACTGTCTCAAGGCCTCCACACTCAATGTAAAAATACGCTGCTCTCTGACTCTCGCTAGGTGCTGCAGCGAGCCTTGCGTACGTGACGGTCTACGGAAACTGAAGAGCCTAGAGATGATGAACAGGTTTCTGACCTGGGAACTCACCAACTCTGACGGCGCAATGGAGAGTCTGCGAAGGGTCGCTAATGTTCGAGGTGGGATGCAAGAGGATGAGAACTTTATTAACGCCCTTCTGTTGCGTTACTCTGTCAGACAGGCGGCAAAGCCTGTCAGGAGGGAGGATCAACAACAACAGCAACCGCACGGTGTCAAGCTGAACCTGCTGGCCAGTCAGGCAGCGTCAGGCAAGGAGGAACGCAAAAAGCGCGCCAAGGAGGCCATGGCCTCTACAGACCACGAGACATTCCTCTCGGGCTTAACACGCCTCCTCTACAAGGTGTGTCTTTCCCCTGAAAATGCAATCCATCTCTATCGTCTGGGCTCAGTACAGCACATGATCCGCCTCATCACCGAACTGCCCCGTCTTTTTGGCCCCTTTCGAAGACCTGTTTGTTCGGCCTCGGAGAAGTTGAATGGTTTTGACAGGGCGGAGAAGATTGTCAAGCACGCACTCTGCGCTCTTGCTCTCATGGCTGATCTGCCGGAGATTAGGAACGCTATCGCAACCATGTCGGATGGCATACGACCCTGGTTGGTGCTTCTGCGACTCGCAATCGATGATCTCATGCCAGCCACCTGCGCCTCCATTCGCGTCCTTCTGATGAATGCCTCGATTAGGAACGCCTTTATCGAGCACGGCGGTGTTCGAATGCTGTTCGCTTACGTGACCAATGGACAGAGGGATGCAAAGTTGGAGGCCTTGCGCACTATACACACCTGCCTGGAGAACATCCAGAACACGGGCCGTGTGCTGAAGCCTCTCACCTCCTCCATGGACACCATTGTGAGTTTCATTCGCAGCCTCAAGACTGACGAGGAGATACAGCGTGCTGCTCTGGAGACCATTGCCCAGATGGCTCGTGACCGGAACACCCTTGCCATTATGACCGATTTGGGTGTGACTCAGGAGATCTCTCGTTTGTTATCTGTGGCGACTGATGACGAGATGTGTATCAGCATCTGTCACGCCCTGGCCGCATGCTCCTACTATGGCAAGAACGCCTTCTACTTTGGTGATACCAACTGTATTCCCGTGCTTGCTGCCCTAATGAAGTCTCGTAACGAAGCGCTGCGAAGTGCGGCCGTGAAGGCAATCCACGGGCTCAGTTTCGATCCGGAAAATGCGGCGCAGATTTGGGGTGCGAATATATGCAAACTACTGACCTCCCTGGCGGCTGGAAACGAAGAGAGTACACAGAAGGCGGCCACGGGCACCCTCACCAACATACGACACCTCGAGTTCATTGCAACATATCAGTTCAATTGAAAATTTGCTGCAGAATGAAGGGTAAATTAGAGAAGGGCTTCTAGCACATATGTGTTTGTAACCGGGCGCAAACTGCAAGTCGTTTTACCTGGAGAAGGCATTCCGTTTTTCTTTTCTAAAAACTTCTATCTGTCCATCGAACGATTAAAAAATCTCTTATATTTCTATGCGAATCGCTCATGTAAATTGATATTTTCTTCTATAATATGACAGATGGAAATTTGCTTCAACGCTTTTAAGATGAAATTTTGAATGGTCAGAGATGTTGGAGGTGACGGTGTGGAATCTCGATCACGCATAACTGCTGGATATGTTCGTCCTGATTGGGATGGAGAAGGTGGCTTTTGTGCCAAAGCACGTTATATGGAAAATTAGCCGGTCCTAGATGCCATGCATCAGACAACTAATGTGCGCCCTAAAACCAACCCGATGTGCACTGTCGAGTAGTAAAGTGATCCCTCACTGCGATCCTCTCTAGGCGGGCCGGTTTCGTGTCCAGCCCACATTCCCCACAACCGGAGGCTGTACAGTAGCTGTGCTAACTCATGAAATGCTAACCAAAATTCCGAAATGCGTTTTCGACTCAAAAAGATTACTTTGGTAGGGCTGTAATATTAATTACGGTGCAGCATAATTCCACGATAAATCAGTTACTTCGGGATATTGGCTTTTGAATGAACTTTTTTTGGGCGCCTGCAAAAAATAACTTTCGAAATACAATGACCACTTAAGTAGCATGAATTTTTCTCATTGGTTTTCAATGCCCTTATAAATTCAGATATATATCATAGAAAAAATACAAAAAAGTATTCATTCTTTTGTTCCTTTGGTAGAAGATTACGTCTTCTTAAAATTCTATACTCGAAGGAAGGGTATAATTCGGCTTTGAAAAGTTTCTAATTATGAGATGTTTTAAGACCGGGAAACGCCCGTTCATAAAACCTTGCTTGTAAAGTTTACGATATGGCTCAAATCCACTGCTAAATTTTATGAACCCCATATGGTCTCCTCTTAATACCGTAGAGAAATGCATGCAAAGTTAAGTAATGCATATAAACCCGGAGCCAATCCACTCCCAAGCCAGTTTATCTGACCCGATAGGCAGATTTATTGACAGTTCGATCGTCGCATCCGACGACGTCCACCGTGTGCTCCACAGCAAGCTGAAGCAGGCACGGTGACTTGTGCGTGGATTAATTTATAGTGATAGCGGACTTGCGCAGCACCTACCACACTCTCTCCTCCTCCCCTACCTGGACCCGGTGTCAAAACAGAGTTAGGAAGACCGGAGGTTGGAGGGGAGGGAGGCGCAGATGGATAACACGGTCGAGCCCGCAACTTGGCGTTCCACTCCACACCCCCTGATCCACGCAGCAAACACCCAGAATTTTAACTAACAACACCACAACCGGGTCAAAAGGACGAATATGACTGGGCAGCCATGCTCACGACCTGTATACCCAGCGAGAGCACAAGCGCATCTACCGGCAGGGAACCATGGTCTGCTGATTCTGGCGCGGCAGGCGCTTACAGACAGGCTCAGAAGGCTAACACGTGGCCCTGCATTTGTCTGGGCCGTTAAAGTGATGTTAGAGGGACATTAGTTGACACTTCTTAACGTCATTTCGACATTTCTGGTCCCTCATCGATGAATCTGCACAGCAAGCACTGTTTACAAAATCTCCGCCTCACCGATCAATAAGATATGTACGGTAATTCGTATACTTGGAGGATGTGGGTGCAGCAGCTCCACCATACTTTTACAAAATGTACGCCTCGCCGATCAATAAGAAAGACATATACGGTAATTCGTACACTTGTGGGTGCGACAGCTTCAACATACTTTTATAACTCTAGGAGGCACGCAAGGATTTAGTGAGATGCAGCATATCCAGTTGACTAGGCTGCTGCAGTACAAACCAGCCCTCACTTGTACGTTTATTTCTAAGACGCCCTTCGTTGCTTAAATTAAGCATGTGTACCATAGTTAGAATCCGCTTCTCTAGCCTCCCTGGCCTACGCAAACTCGCGGGGTAATTGCAGGAGACGTGGGGAGATTTTTACAGTCATCGCCCATGCTTATTTGCTGACCACCCCTATGTAGGTTTCCTCGATTACGCAGTGATGGGTTACGCAAACGAATCGCATTCTTCACACTGAGCACGCCGTGATATATCGGCAAAGCGCACAGGACGCAATGGCAACGCCAACACACACGCACACACACACAAGGCGGTTCGGACGTCATAAAGGACGAGATTTGGACGCCCACTGAGGTGGGCGCAGTCTTGGATTGAAAATGCAATTGTTTATGGGGGAACAAACAGACTTGCGCCGATTCCAACCTCGTCTTCTCTCCCCCACACCCACCACGTCTCGGTGGCAAGACAACAGGACGTGAGCGTGGACGCAGTTCTTGACAGGGCTTACCAGCCCGCACACACGTATCACTTACAACCCGGTCTTCGACTTCATCTGTATTAGGCTTCATACAGGGAGGTCTTGCTCAAGTAGGAATGTCATTGCAGCGGCTGGCCCGCAAGTATAGGACCCAGTCGGCCCGTTAATTGCAGGCACGCAAAGCGCAACTTACAGTAGGTGGGTTAACTCATGAAATGTCAACCGAAATTCCGAAATGCGTTTTCGTTTCGAAAAGATTAATTAAGAAGGGTTGTAAAACTAGTCAGCCTGCAATATAATTATATGTTTCAGTTACCTCAGGATGCCGGCTTTCGAATGAACTTCCTTCCGGCTGCATGCAAAAACTACACTCTGTGAAAAATGATTACATAAGCAGCATGAATTTTTCTCATTTATTTTCGATGTCCCTCAATGTTCAATTATATTCCATGGAAAACATGCATAAAAATTTTCATTCTTTTGCTCATTCGGTAGACAATTACGTCTTCTTTTAATTTTATACTTGAAGGAGGGTTGTAATTCGGTTTTAAAAAAACTTGTCTAATTCCCGAATAATCTTGAACCCGCTCTACCGTTACACTTGGATTCAGGGTTTCCAAACTACAGACCGTATATTTTCCGCTTACGGAAAGCCACACATCTTTCCACGGTAATAAAGGGGGACCACATAGGGTTCAGAAAATTTAACAGTGGATTTGATCTATATTGTTAACTTTACAAGGCACATTGGTAAATGCAGAGACTTGCCGATTTCTGAACGGCCATTTCACGGTATTTAAAAGTCCCACAATTGGAAACTTTTTTAAAACGTAAGTATGTCCTGGTTTGTTAGGTCTCGCCAGCCAAAAAAAACCCAAACCCAGATCTGAATGGCATGAGCTTCGAACTCTGATTCCTTGCTTATTAAAAGTTACATCCAACGTTCTACCACTGAGCCAGGGACCCGCTGTCCCGTCGTTTTTTGTACCACAAAAATCGCAAACAGAGCTTATCTTCTCAACGACAAACCCAGCAATACGGTGGCATTCGGCAATGACATCGGTCTACCCAGTGGCTGTACACAACACATAAAGACCACGATTAATGCCATGGTATTCACATTCCTCCACGGAAATCTCAAGGTCAAACTGGTTCGTTCACAACGTCAACAGCAAGTCAGGATAACACCGTAGAGAAGCAAGAGGACGTCACCAGGGAATGAGATCAGGTAATGAAGGCAACCGCCGACTATGATACTGGAGGACATTGGGATCAGACGAGTCGGGAAAACTGGACCAAATATGCATGCATGGGAAAAAAATGAAAAGGTACAAATGTCAGAGAAACAAGAAAAAAATATATTAAAGTTAATACGGGTAGTGAGATGCTTGTATGTGGCTCCAGGGTGTAAGACGTCAATGCGCGACCGAGGCTCTTGATGATGCAAAAAGGATCGACTGGTTATGGGGGGAGGAGGGGTTGGGAGGGCGGAGCGGAAGTAGGGGGCTCTGAGGAATGTTTCGCGCGGAATGTTGTCAGACGGAGGTCATGTATGTTCACCAGGGGACGGTAAGTCGAGACTGGTACGGAGGTTCTCCGCCAACCGACTGAGACCAGTGCGGAGGCTGACAGCGAAGGTCGAATTACCCGGAACGCCTGCCTCTTCACCTGCGAAGGAGGGTGGGGGGAGAAGGAGCGGAGTGATAGTTAGTCCGCAATGACACATACACAGTACGACCCATAACCATAGCAGATGGCAAGCGCGGCCCAGGACAAGGTGCAGGATGTGTACATGGAGAAATGTCAGCAGAAGAAGAGCATGAATCGATGTGGCAATCGGAGGCAAAAGCGACCAGCAGAACGATCCGTCGCAAATCAGTTTGTGCAATACGGTCTGGCGGAGAGCTTTGAGTACCCCATAGTCACACAAAGAATTACAGCTACAAGCACGCATCCGAACATCAATCGAAAGCCATAAACAGGCTGGGGAACGATTTTTAAAATATTGATGTGGGTTTACATTGTCTGTAACCTAACGCTACTTAGGCAACATGTCCTCCAACCCCCGAAAGCCACTCCACTCGCAAAAAAATCACGGCGCTGGAGAGCCGGACCGCGCACTTTGAGTGAATTCTCGACTGCTATTCTTCAGTCTTCAAAGAAGTCGTCAACAGACGCCACCTAGTGGACACCAATGCTGATGGTCGTTCGCTGTCCCCACGGGAAACGATTAGGGCCCCTAAAGCACGCAGAGCTGGGCCAACACAGGGGCTAAATCGAAGTTCGACAGGCGCTGTTGGGAATGCGCACTGAAAGCAAGTATCAACACATGGGGTGCGGTGACAAGACCAGTTGCAAGCTCACACCACACACATTGGGATCCTTGCCAATCCCACCCCATTCTTGTTGTTGTTTAAAATTCTAGTCAGTGTATGTTGTGGGACAAGGGGTTTGGTGATACGCTTAAGTGCGGATTCTCGCCACGCCAGCCACTTGCAGCCTCGCCTGCCTACAGCCTTCCTAACTTTGTCTTAACCCTGGGTCCAAGTGGTGGAGGAGGTGGAGGAGGAGGAGGAGGAGGGGGAGGAGGAGGATGAGAG